TTTAATTGGATCCCCAAGTACTTCAGGGACATAATTAAGAAGTATATATATTTGGGTATATGATTCTCATGTGAAGCTTTTGCCAAAGGCAAGTTGGCTATGGTGTTACAGGCCTGTAACCCCAGCATTTGGGACTGTGGCAGGAGAATTGTGAGTTTGAAGCCAACCTGGGCTCTGGAGCAAGATCCTGTCTCCTAGGCTACATGTAAGCATATACATGCTGCATTCTGCTAGCCGTGTTTGTCATGGGCCTGGGTTTCCTCTGCTGTAGAGAGCGGTGCCAATCTAGCTCAGGAGGGGAGAAAGACAGTCCTACTGGAACCTGATCAAGACAAACATGTTTCAAAAACTCAGAATTATTCAGCACATGCTGAAAACGGACATGCCACTCTGCCCCCTTCAGTTGCTTCTGGGAGTTGTTTCCCTATATTGGTGATTTCCGGAGTGAGCCTGGCTATTGAAAAGAACATTTCACACATACACACACACAAAACCACCACCACCACCACCACCAACCCCACCACTACCACACACACAAAAGCTACCTTTCATCTACTGTCTCCAAAATCCATGGCATATTTCCCAGCAGATTCCATTGGGAATCTGCTAGTGGAATGCACTCAGTGGGTACTGCATTAAGATAGCAAAGCCCTAGATAAATTTTCAGCCTTCTGGGCTGGGAAGGTGGCTCAATGGTAGAGCGCTTGCCTTGCATGCATGAGGCCCTCGTTTCGATTCCTCAGCACCACATAAGCAAAAAGAAAAAAAGCCGGGAATGGCGCTGTGGCTCAAGTGGTAGAGTGCTAGCCTTGAGCTGAAGAGCTGAGGGACAATGCCCAGGCCACAGCGCCACTTCCGGCTTTTTTCTTTTTTTCTTATGTGGTGCTGAGGAGTCGAACCCAGGGCCTCATGCATGCCTTCCCAGCCCCTCCATGAGACTCTTAACTCCAATAAACTACTCAGAAAAAGTCAGAAGTGGAGTTGTGGCTCAAGTGGTAGAAGACTATCCTTGAGCACAAAGAGGCTCTGGGACAGCACCTAGGCCCCGAGTCCAAGCTCTAGGGCTGGCACAATAAATATAGGGGCCATTTAGATATATTATTTAAGTAAACAGATATGTATTGATTATCTGTGGTATCTCGAACCTGGATAATGGAGACCTGACCACAATAGACAAAAGCTATGGATCCTAATAGTGCCCAACAAGGCAGGTGCTATCTTATTGCTGAGAGGAAATGCTGAGAGGTTAAAGGGTTCTCAAATAATGTAACATCAACTAGCAGTGCAGCCATTTCAGAGTTTGGTAATGGGGATCAGACACTTTTGTTTAGTTTTTGGCAGTAATAGCTTTTGAACTCAGGGCCTTATGCCTACTAGGCATGGGAGAAAATTCTTTTTTTTTGCTAGTCCTTGAACTCAGGGCCTGGGCACCGTTCCTAAGCTTCTTTTTGCTTAAGGCTAGTACTCTACTACTTGAGCCACACCACCACTTCCAACTTTTTTTTCTGTGTATGTAGCACTGAGGAATCGAACCCAGGGCTTTATGTATGGTAGGCAAGCACTCTACCACTAAGCAACATTCCTAGCCTCTTTTTTTATTTTGCTGGTCCTGGGGCTTGAACTCAGGGCCTAGGTGCTCAAGACTAGCACTCTACCACTTGCGCCTCAGCACAATTTTTGTTTTGAGTTTACTGGAGTCTCACAGGAACTTTTCTGCCTGGGCTGGCTTTGAACCATGATCTTTAGATCTCACCTCCTGAGTAGCTAGGATTACGGGTGTGAGCCACTGGCCTGGCTTATTTTTTTTATTATAAAGATGATGTTCTGAGAGGTTATAGTTACATAAGTCAGGTCATGAGTACATTTTTTTTTCTCTTGTTGGTTGTGGGGCTTGAAGTCAAGGCATGGGTGCTGTACTTGAACTCTTTTACTCAAGGCTAGCGCTCTACCACTTTGAGCCACAGTGCCATTTCCTGTTTTCTGATGGTTAATTGAAGATAATTTCTCGGACTTTCCTGTCTGGGCTGGCTTTGAACTGCAATCTTCAGATCTCAGCCTTCTGAATAGGTAGAGTACAGGCCTGAGCTACCAGCACCTGGCTGAGTACATTTCTTTTTGGACATTGTCACTCCTTTGCTCTCTCTCTCCCACCCCCACACTCCTTGAAGTTTGATTATTTCCTGTTAAGCCACTCCTTTGCAGAATTGTGAACCTGAGCTCAGTCAATGGGGAGCAGAAAGGCAGGGTCTGCTGGGTTAGGGATAAAAAGGGAGCAGCCTGCCTGCTCTGTGTGCTTGTTGCCAGATTTATTTTATTTTTTTTTATTTTTGGGTCCGGTCGTGGGGCCTGAACTCTGGGCCTGGGCGCTGTCCCTCAGCTCTTCAGCTCAAGGCTAGTGCTCTACCACTTGAGCCACAGCGCCACTTCCAGCTTTTTTCTTTTTGCTTATGTGGTGCTGAGGAATCGAACCCAGGGCCTCAGGCATGCAAGGCAAGCACTCTACCACTGAGCCACCTTCCTAGCCCCTTGCTGCCAGATTTTTTGACTGATAGCCTTCCCTTCTGCAGAAATAAACTTTACTTTGCAGAGTTCCTTTTGAGTTGTCATTATTCCTATATAATACCCCAATATATGAAACTATTTCTAATAGGTGGGAGCTCTACCACTTGAGCTACTCTTGTCTTTTTTTATGCTTTATTTTTCTGGGTCTTGCTATTTGCTTGAGACCAGTCTGGATCTCTGTATTCCTTACCCAGGACTCTTTGTGGCTATGATTACAGACATACACCACCACACCAATTTGTTGGTTGAGATGGGGGCCTAACTTTTTGCTGGGGCTGGATGGAACTGTAATCTTCCTCATCTTTGTCTTCCAAGTTGCTGGGGTTAGTGATATACCACCATGACCATTTTAGAGCCTTATGATTTGTGTACACTGAAACTGAGGCTTGAACTTCAGGGCCTTGTACTCTAGTATGGTTTTCTTGTTCATGGCTGGTGCTCCACCACTTGATCCATGCCTCTAGTCTCATTTTTTTCTGATTAGAAATAAAGCTTTATTTTGATAGAAATAAAAAGGGGGAGAGAAGCAGGCTAGGGAATGTAGAATGCTTGTAGAATACATGAAGCCTTAGGTTCCATTCCTAGCAGTGCAAGAATAAAAGTAAAAAAAAAAAGGAAAATATACTTCAGAGGGTAGTAAATCCAAGTCAATACAGTATAAATGAGTCAGAATAAAACCTAGAGGCAAGGAAATAAGACTAAAGGTTTGCTAGCATTTCCCTTCAGAGAAACAAGAAAAGCACAGGGCCATATGTGATAGTAGCATCCCTGTGTCATAAGGCTTCACAAGTCAGCTTAGGGCTCAGCTCAAGAGCTATAATTCCCATTCTCTTCTCCCTTTTCTTTGACTTATGATCCACCCCCCCCACCTTTACAGATAATAAAGGCTCCCAGATCTTAAACCTTGGCATTTTTCCTTCCTGACCAACTTACCTTTTTAGAGTCCCAATAAGAGGTAAGGCTTCCAAAGAAAACATCAGGAGAGATAAAACTTGAGTCAATAATGGGCTGAGCTGCACACCTGTGGCTTATGCTTATAATTCCTATAATATTCAGGAGACTGAGATCTAAGGATCAAGGTTCTAAGCCATCCTACGTAAGAAAGTCCATGAGACTCAGCCCCAATTAACTCCAAAAAGTCTTAAGTGGAGTCATGGCTGAAGTGGCAGAACACGAGCCTTGAGTAAAGCAGCTCTTGTCCTGACATACACATGCATCTACTTACACAGACATACAGACACACACACATGCACAAATAATGGACTTAGTCTTCCAGTCAAGGGACAGTTAGTGGCTGAAAGTACAGATCTTAACTAAATGTTTGGTCCAGAAGGGTCTAGACTGGGGACAAAATTCGGGGGCAGCAGGCAGGCTTACTAACTAACCTAGAAAGAAAGAAAAAGCGTGAGAAAAGCAGGGCCCTGTATAAAAATGGAGTTAAGGAGATTCTATTTTCCTAATCCCGTCAGGGGCTTTCTAGCTTTGGCATTTAATTGTTCTTGGGGCTCCATCTTCCCAGGGACGTGGGCAGGTACACAGAGGCCTGGCCAGGCGGAGCCGGGCTGGGCGCAGGATGGCCTGGCAGGGCCCCGCGGCCCTGCGCGCAGGGAGGGAGTTCACGCCCACCTTCCCTTTTTCCGTCGTGGTTCCCAGGCCTCCGCGGGCCTCCGGAGCCCGGGAGCCCGGCCCGAGGATGGGCTTTGTGGCGGGAAATCGGTTAGAGTCGGGCTAACTTTTCGGGGACCCCGTCGGATCCCGGATGGCTCACAAACAGCTCGGTGCCCTTGGCGGCCTGGCTCGGCCACTTCGGTAAACGTCCCGGCCTAACCGCCCTTTATGGCTACGGCGAAGTAATGAAGGAATTCATCCGGATCCTCTCAGCAGCCGGCGGCTCTCGTTAGTATCTGGGAATAAAGACGACCATGGGACTTAAGAAACTGCAGCCTACGCGGACCAGAGGGAGAGACGCGTTTGTGGGTAACGTGTGTGTGTGTGTGGGGGGGAACCGCCACTGAGGGAACAGCCGAGAAGGCCCGGCACCGACCCCAGCCAGCAGCCCCAGGCCCCGGCCCCGGCCCCGGCCCCGGCAGG